AGCAATTTCAACCGAGAATTCTGTACCCAGCAAGGTTATCATTCATTTGGGAAGAAAAGACACGAACTTTCCCAGATAAACAAAACCTGAAAGAATTTACCAGCAGCAGACCGGATCTCCAAGAAGTTCTTAAGGGAGTGCTATGTCAGTAAAATTAAATGCAGACACACAGAAATAAGAGTTCAAAAACTAAGAAAATTGGCAACTTAATTGTAGGGACAAAGTCTGGAGTTGAGTATTAGATCCCAGAGTTCAATCTGGAAGATCGTACCTCAACAGTAACAGAAGAAAGATTAAGTACACGAGTCTGAACTGATGAAATAGTATTCTGTGATTTGACTAAGATATTGCTTCTTCTCTTCTAAGCTTTGTTGTCCGGTTTTAAGGATTTTTATCCTCTCTTGAGCTGTCAATAGATTCATGTACATACTATATGAACAAAATTTTATTTCTAAAGCTTAGTGTCACAATCATTTCAGCTATGTGACATATAAGAAGCTAAGAAAACAAATAGCAAGAAATTTAGACCTACAAGAAACCTCAAGAAAGTCAGAGGTGCTTTCGAAGTCCCCTCAATTCCCCTAAAATATTAGTCCAATATTTTTTTCTTAATTAAGTGCTTATGCACCAGATTTTTAAAAAATCACCATAGAGCACAATGCGCTCACTAGACAAAGAAAGAGAGAGAATTTGGGGCACACGTCTAGCGTGGTTTTCAGGCTGCCAGGTGTGAGACTCGAACTCTAAGAAGACCCGGAGGGATCCAGCACCTTCACCACCGGGTCACTTGCTGGCCAGCACCAGGCACTTAGATTGTAGAGGTTTTAGGGCCATGAGTGTGCCAAGGACAGCCCACTCCTACCTGGCCTCTTCACTTTATCCCAAACCTTTCACATTCCCATCTCCCCCCACTCCCAAACCTTCGCCTCAACCACAGACACATAAAATTTTCTTTCTGCATCTCTGACCACCCACCCCGCTCTGACCCAGCCCTGTCACTCTCATCCCTCTCCCAGCTCAGGTCTTCCCCCAAGGTGGATCGCTCACCCTCAGCCTGAGGATGGTGACTCCGGTGTCCCCTCTCTCCTAGCAACCACACCAGGTCCTCACTGCTCTCGGAAAACACACGCCCACACCTGAACTACTCGCTTGCACCCCACACCCTCATCTGGGACTTCATCTCTCTCCCTCTGTCTCTCTTTTTGTGTATCTCTCTCTCCCTCCCCACTCCCACAGACACAGGCAGCCCCAGGCCCGCTCACCTCGCCTCTGCACCATGAAGATCTCGCCACTCCAGTAGTTGTATCTGCAGAAGGTGTCCACCATGGCCCGCCGTTCCTCCATCTAGTCCTTCTGGCTGTTCCAGAGCTCAGCGTCCCGCCGCCCCAGCTCAGTCACCGCCAGGTACTCGCCCACGTCGCTGTCAAAGTGCACGAACTCCTCCGGATTATAGATGTATTGCTCCAGGAACCGCACCCGCTGGGTCCCGTTGGAGAAATGGCAGTCAAACTTAAGCTGCTCCATGAAACGCGCTGTGGGGACACGAACGACGGCGTCACGCAGCAGCCTCCGGGGAGGACACGCACAACCAAGGTCCCCAGTGGGTTGCCAGGACTGCCCTGATGGGCTCCCCCACTCCAGCAGCCTGGCTTCCAGCACCCACATGGTCTTCTTTCCTCTGACAGGAAGAAGGCCTCCACTCAGGCAGGAAAATCCCTTGGATCCTGAGCCCTTCAGTACCCAATCCTGCCTCATGAATGACCTCAGATTTACAAGAGGGAACTGGACCAGGATTCGCCCTGTGGCCTTCCTGCACCACCTCCTCCTGGAAGCCTTCCCCTAAATACACGTACTGCCTCCCTCCTCCCATCCCCCAGCCCTCACCTCATTCTTTCTGCAAATACTTCTTTAGTCCTGACCTTAGTACTAGGCCTCCGGAGACCCCTGGGAACCCAAAAACAGAAAAACAGACACAGCACCTCCCTGTGGAGCTTAAAGTCTGTAAAAGTGATGGACAAAAAGCAAATGCACAGGAATTGACATGGGAGTGAGAAATGTCAAGAGAAGCCTTCTATACCAGATAATGGGAGAATGACCGACAGTACCTTAGGGTGCCAGAGAGGGACGCTGAATGGTGGCAACATTTAAGAAGTGAGGTAAAAGGTTAGGTTGACGTGGACTGAGGGGCAGAGTGCAGTGAATATGTATGTTTGGACAGAAAGGGGAATATGTTCACCTGATGACATGTGCGAAATTTGAGAGTTGAGCTTTAAGAAACCAGGGGGGGAAAGTTCACTAAAGCTTGGAGAGTGAGGGGAAGAAAGGTAAAAGATTCAAGTGGAGAAATCACAAGTAGCCAGGAACTTAAAAGTCTGGGGTTTAGATTTATACTAAATGCAGTGGGAAGTAATCAATGAATTTCTTCAAAGTTTAAACTATGATCTCATTACAGGTGCACAAACCCTGCAATCCTCCCCCAGCCTCAGCCAGCTGCATCCTGGGCATGTTCAAGTGTGCCTGGTGTGAGCAGGGAGATCGGGGACGAGGACCCAGGACTTCCCATATGGATTCAGCATCAGGAAGCTTTGCCTTACTGCTGGGCCCCTTTGACTGGCTAGCAACTTGTGTTTATAAAGTACAAATAGTAATGAAAATCTTTTTTCAGTAAAATGGCTCAGTTTGGGCAGTAGTTCTATATGCTATACTATTGATAATGTCTGATATTTCGATTTATTCATCTCATTTTAACTACAGGCTCATTCTTTACCTCGACATTTTCTCAGCTCAGTTAAACAGACAGACAGAAACAGAACACTGTAAATACCTATGACATACATATGTGCATGCTTATATTTTCTAAGTGTTCTGGATTCAGAAATACAGAGAAAGATAATGAGATCATAGCTTTAACTTTTTAAAAAACTTGTTGCTAGTTTCCCATTGCACTTAGTATAAATCTGAAATCCAGGTTTTTACGTTCCTGGCTTCTTGGGGATCATTCTTGCTTTGGGGCGGAGGTTATTCTGTTGGATGTAGGCTATCAGCATCACTGCCCTCTGCTCGTTAGCTGTCATAAATCTGTGGTCATGGGGGCCAGCAGGTGGTAATTGTTGTTGACCTCTCCTATGTGGGTCAGTGTTTAACATCCATGAGCCTTTTTCCTTTATCTATAAAATAAGTTTAGCAGTAGCGTATTTCTCATAAGATTATTGTTACCCTAAAAATTAAGAAGTGATTTTCTTAGTGTTAATCACATAATTAAAAGCTCAAGCATATTACCATTTTAATTTTTGTAACCCCTGTGACACAAGCCAAACTATCTTTCTATTTCTTAAATCATAAAGCAAATAGGGACCGGCAGATGGCATAATGATTACATCACTGGACTCCCATTTGGTCAACTGAGGTTTGGGTCTTTGACCCAGCAGCTTCAAACTCACACTGGCGCACATGTGTGCATGCCCAAAATCCTGAGAAGAGACTGCAGGTTTGTGGCATGGCCATCCCCATGGGGGGGGGTGATTTTTCACTTTATTCTTCTCTGTCTCTCTGGAAAGTGCATGCACCCTATTGCAAAAATCTCTCTGAAAAAAAAATCTAAAGCAAATAATATTCTATCATAATTTGGCAATTGTCTTCTATTCATTTTGTCACTAATTACCATTTTGAATACATAAGGGCACAAACATTGGTTTATGCACACTCACAGACAACATATATATTCGAAAATATGTACAAAAATACGTATGTACTCTGTTAGTATACATTTAACAGGTAAACCTAACACAAAATGAGCATGTTGACAAAGAATAGATGGACTCTTGTATCCTCTAATTTATAACATTCTAGCAGGAACTATGTGACACTAGGAAATTATTTAAACCAGTTCAGTATAGATTACATCGGTATATGTTTCCAAATGTTACAGAAATGATAGAGTAGCTATTACACACTGAAATTTTTAGGCCTAGGTTCTAGTTGCTGTAAAATGTTAAAGCTCTAAGCTGATAGAGACCAAGAGTGTCTCGTCACCACTCCATCCTCATCACCTGGAGCAATAACAGGTGTGTTCTAAATCACTGATAGATATGAGTTGTATGAATCAATGCCTTTTGCCTCACCTGTCACTAGTGCATACAAAGGCCCTCCAGCATTTTCTTCCTAATAAGCAAAGTCCTCCTGCTTCTCTTCAGGCTCCTATTCCTCTCCTTTAGGTCCAGCTGGATCCCTGGTCCAACAGCACAATCCTTCCCCAGCCAAGCTGCTCCAAAGTCAACTGGAGTCCAGCTTTTACTTCTTTAGCTTGCACACTCCTCAAACAGTCCGGTAGGTTCTATACAGGGACTCCACATACTGCAAGCGTCATATCCACTAGACTCAGAGCTTGCTTGTCTGTCATGATCTCACCTCACTCACCTCATGGGTACTCACCGCACACTCCCACACTGGCCCTGACTCATGGTCCATGGCCCTTTTCTTTTCTTTTGTCTTTTTCTTCTCCTTTCCTTTCTTTTTCTTTTTTTTTTTTTCCTGGAATAATTTTTCTCCC